GAGCTGCTCCACACCAACAAGTGCTACATGCGAGACCTCTGCGTAGTGGACGCCGAGTGGCTATATGAGGCTGCCCCCGAGTACTTCCGGAGGAAGTTGAGAACAGCCAGAAACTGAGCCACCCTAGGCTGTTGCCAGAACTGGGAGCTAGGACCATCGCCATCCTCACAACTGACTTCCAGTTTGGCACCTAGAGAGGCAGGTTTTAATGTAACAGAATGTGCCTGACTTCCAGGAGCTTGCAAGCGTCTTTGTTTAAATTTCTAAGACTGAACCATGTAGCTATGCACCTACCATTTATACCTTTGAAACCATCAAAATTATGCTTTTGGTTCTTGCTGGGTGACTTTGGGTGACATAGTTAACTTCTGAGCCTCAGTTTCCTCATCTGCTAACTGGGTGTAATAATAATACTTATAGGGTTAGTGTCATGAGGTTTAGAGAAAATGAAAGTACCCAGAGCTGTGCCTGGCCCACGTGAACATGATGAATTGTGAGTTTGATGTTATTACTTTTTACGTGATGTGAATTCGGTACAACAAAATGCCCCGAGTTCTTGTGACTAAGGAGGACTTTCTGGAAGGGGACCATAGGAGAGCACAAAGCTCGATGTTATCCTTGAATCTATTTTAATGTCTATCCGTATGAAGGTTTTAAATAGAAAACATAAGAGACTGACATCCATAGAAGTTTCAGGAGGCTGATGCTGTTTGTCTCTTACCTCATGGGCTGGATGCCCCTGCAGAACCTCCTCCCCAGGGAGTGGACTCTGCTGCCTCCAGCAGAGAGTAATAAAGAAGCACACTCAGGTTGTTGAGCTGTGTCCCTTTGTTCCTGGTGCCTCTGTGGCTCATACCCCCATTTGTGCTTTTATGAGACCTGAAAGTTTCCTAGGTGAAGGTTGATTTATATCTTCTGCATCATGTCAAGTGTAAATATGGAAAACTGACCTTGTAGGGTGATGGCCTCTGACATACCCAGTTGCCATTTTTCTCCATAACTGGGCCCATATAAATATGTGAGCGTAAGGAAAGTCTCTGCACCACATTTCAGCCATTTCTCTTCTTTTGAGGCCTCTGGTCAGAGAGCTGTTGGGGTTGAGGGGGAGAGACGAATGATCAGTGAGAACCCAGACAACACTGGCTCATCCCATCCACCACAGCTGGTGTTTATAGTCTTGCATCTTATTTTCTATGATCTTCTTTCCTTCCTTGAGACTTTAGGACAACCTGGCTTTGTTACTTTCTAACTGTGCCAGTCACCCCTCTCTAATCCTCAGTTTCTACATTTCTGAGAGGGAATTAGAGGGTCTCCACAGTCTCTTCCTGTTCTCATATTTTAAGAAGGGAAAAGACACCAAAGGTTCTTCTTAGCTATTTAATTTTCAAGAGCAAATGATCTTCCCCCAGATGTCTTGCCCTAGAAGCCAAGATTTAGCCCTTTTATTTTGCTTAATTGGTCTAAACACACATGTACAATATTTTGGTCATTACTTAAAGATGACTGAAAGTGAATCATGCAATTTATAGTCAGGGGGCCAAACAGAGATCCTTCAGAGACAGTGGTCAGTCTCTTCATTCCAGATCCAGTGAACTCTTCAAGACCATAACCTGCTGGAGCACCCCATTCTGGGTCTCATCTGTCCACGCCTGAGTATTTCAAGACTGAATCAGGCTTTTGAGCACTAGCCCAATGGCCCTGAGAAGTCAAGCTTTTACCTAGTGTTCAGGGCTCTCTGGGCACTTCTGATTTAATTCTGTTAGAAATAGTTACATTTAGGCCAAATAGGATTCAACAGAATAGGATTTGACAAATTCTATATACCCTATCTTATTGAATACTTAGACTTGGCTGGCTCTTCCTCAGATTGGCTTGTTTTTACCATTGCTGACTTTCTGAAAAGTTTTTCAGAAGGTTTTTAAAATGTATTCTCATTTATTTAATAGAAGCCTAGGATGTTTAGTGTGACTTGGAAAAAGAAAATACTGTATTTTTAATCAAATATTCATCATGCTTGTAAAAAATAGTGGGGTGACTTATCATTTTCCTTGGCAAATTATCAAGAAGTGTTCTTTGGGGCAAGTAGAACTTGGAATAATTTGTGTCCAACTTAAGTACCTAAAAAGTTTCTGGAAGTGTAAATTCTTTTCTGAGCAGGAATAAGGGATAAATAGCTTCTAAGTATATGTAAATAGATTCTAAGTAGCTTTAATGTTTCTATACTGGAATATATTTACCACTGTAACATTCTGGTAGGGTTTTAATACAGTAGATTTTTATTGGGCTTTTTAAAAAGTTAATTTTTAACATAGCTACTCAGGGATTAAATCAGATTGGAAAACCCATTCTGACCACATATTACTACAAAGAAATATTTATATTGAGCTGCAGGGGATAGTACATTTTAAATTTAAACTTTCTTAAAGTTAAATGTTGCACAATGATGTTGCAGTTTAATCTTGAGCTACTCTCTTTCAATTGGTAAAATCTCTAATGGTGTGCCACATTTTGTCCAACCTATGAAATCCGTGTCTGGGCAGATTGCTAGCTCCCACAAGCAGCTTCATGTAAATAGATCCACTTCAAACAGATCGTATGCCTCAGGTGTTGTGTCTTCTAATCATGGAGAGTGGAACATCCAGAGGAACACAGATTTTTATTACAGGGGAAGAACTGCCAACACCTGGTGGTCCTTGTTTAAAAACCCTGTGTTGCATCTCCGCTGGTTGTAAATAGATGCCAGAATGGAGGCAAGTTTTTGCTCTGGGTAAAACTTTTTATGTACTGTGATAAATTCATTTAATCCAGCTGTCAAGAACTGCTTGGAACCATGGCTAGTCATCTAAAATATCATTTCTTGAGCATTAAAGCGAACAGTGCACCTGTCAGGAAACAAGGATTTGATTATATTTTATTTGACCAGAATAACTTGTGGGAGGTTGGGGGGGAGGGCGCAGAAAAATCAAGTTGGTTCGGGTTTATGTTGTATTTTGAGAATCTGGTATTGTTTAAATAGACATAGCTCTAGAGAAACATCACTTCTTGTATATAATGCTCAAATTTGCACATGACTATCAAATCATTAAAAATGAATCTTGTACATGATGTGTATGGCTTCTTTCTAGAGTCTCCTTAATTACAGAATGCTGTTTAGAATAAATTATTAATCTTATCTTTGCCACCAATTGGGAAGACTTTCTATCGTATATTCTGTGTGTCCTGGTAAGGTAGGAACATCATTTCTTAAATCTTTTGTAGCCAATGGCTTCTTGCCCCTAGAAAAATGATATCCCATCAGAATCTGAGAGCAAGCTTGGAGGGTATGAAGAAAGAAGGTCGCAGGAATTAGCCCTTCAGGAGCTCCCAGTCTGTTGGGGGTGAGGGAAGGCTGCCAGGTAAACCAGCAATGCCAGAAGATTTCTCCTTAGAGAAGAACGAAACGTATGGGGCTGGGAGTACACAGGCGTGAGTTCTGTTTCATGGCAGATAAAAGGAGTTTCCAGGAAGGCATCTTAAGGGAGATGACCTTGAAGGCTGGCTGGTCGTTAGGTTGTTGGCGGCGGCAAGAGTGTATTCCACGAAGTTATAGAAAGCCTGGCGTGCTTTGAGAACAGTAGATGGAAATTTGGAGAGCGTAAGCAGCCACTGGAGAAGAATGATTCTGGCAAATTAAACAGAAAGCCTTGCACACCATACTCAGGCGGGTGGACTCAGCTAAAAAGTTCAGTTACTGGATTTGAGGCCCTCGGGAGACTGAGCCGCGGGCAGCCAGCAGAGGGCGAGGTCCTGCCCACGGTGCCTTTAACTTGCAAACTGACGGTACGGAAGTGGTTCCCGGGAGGGGGCGGGACTTCCGGCGGCGCGCTCGGTCAGGGGGCGCTTTGGACCTTCTTGTCCTCATCCGCACGTGTCTGCCGCCGCCTCCGCGATGCTACCTCTGCTGCGCTGTGTGCCCCGCGCCTTGGGCTCTGCCGTCGCCGGCCTCCGCGCGGCGGCTTCCTCCCCGCCGCTCCGGCCGCTGCTGCAGCCGGTGCCACGGCCGTGCATCCGGCCTTTTGGGCTCCTCAGCGTGCGCGCGGGGTCTGCGCGGCGGCCCAGCCTCCTGCGTCCTCGCGAGCCCTGCGCCTGTGGCTGCAGTGAGCTGCATACGGAAGGTGAGTTTGCTCGCGTGGGCCGGGGCCGTGAGCGGTAGATTCCTGGATAGGATGGGGGGCGGAGGCCGAGAAGTGTAGACCACGAGTGGGCCACCCGGAGCCGCCCTGCGAGGTCCAGAACATTTTCCCAAGTGATTGGCAACCAGAAGGTGAAACCCACGTGTGATCACATTTCCCCTCTTCACCCATCTTTTTAAGTGTTTTATTTTGGGGCGAGATATACAGTTAAGCCCTGGAAGCCGACTTTATCCTGTCTTTCAAAAAAGGAACTTTCGGGAAGGCCCAAGGTTGTGGTGGAAAGTAGTGTGGTTATGCCTTTTAGAAAGTGGAAGAAGTTTTATTGGAACTCTCTTGCTTTGTGTGAAACGTCGTAATGAGTTCACTGTCGCAAATCACTTCTCCAGAATCGATCACAGCTTCCTTACAGTATTAGGTATTTTTTACAGATGCAGAAAAGGAGGCTTAGTGTATATGAGATGAGCTACCTCCCCAGAGGATTAACAGATTTCTGGCTAGAGTAACCTAGGTCATTTATACGTTTTAAATTGATGGACTTTCATTGTAGGGGACAAAGCTTTTGTTGAATTCCTGAATGATGAAATTAAGGAGGAAAAGAAAATACAGAAGCATAAATCCCTCCCCAAGATGTCTGGAGGTTGGGAGCTGGAAGTGAATGGGACAGAAGCTAAATTAGTGCGGAATGTTGCTGGAGAAAAGTAAGTACTAGAGGCATCTCTTCCAGGGCCCTAAATCCATGACCCTACAGGACCTGCGCTGAGTCATTCCCAGAATAGCTTAAGGCAGGTACTTTGACACGTGGTTTCCAAGATACAGGGTTCATTTGGATAATTTCATATGTTCCAGGTAATTCGTTCACTGCACATAAATTTCCTGTGGGCTGGTTACTAAGGAAACAGGAGGTAGAACAAAAGTATGTAGCTCGAAGTCTATTGAACCACTAGAGACATAAAGTAAACCCCTACTGGTGGTGGAGGCCATGCCCCTACCTAAATTCAGGCATGCAGATTTAGAAATTCTTATAGTACTGACAGCATCAGTTTGATCTCAGGTTTATAGTCTTGACTCACTGAACTACGGGCTCTGGCTGAGTAAAACAAGGCCTCTGCTCCCTAATGTTTACAATAAGTGAAAATACAAGACGTGTAACTTATTTATAACAAGATGGTTACCATTAGATGGGGAGCTTTTGACCTAGCTCAGCTGTTTTAAATCTATGATCCATTTTGAGTGGATTTTATATATTGTGAAGTAGGGTTTGGATTATTTTTTGCCTAGCAGTATGGTGTGTTTAGTCTCACTTATAGGTCAATTGTGCATACTGTAACTTCACCTAAACCATTTTCCTAGGGTGAGTCATAGACAGTTTGGGGCCATTGTAAATAATGTTCTAGGGAGCTCAACTTGGTCATCATTAGATACTGTGGCCGAACCTCAAACCACCATTCTATGGAAAAGTGGCTTCCTGGCAAGGCAGCCAGTTAGCACAGCTTCAGAAAGCAGCAGTTACAGTGTGCTGTTGTATGCAAATAGTGCCTGCTGGAGTCGCACAGCCCAGCAATGCTAATTCCAAATCTCACATTATTTTTCATTTCAACTCAAACTTTGAGACATGATATGACAGGTGAGGATTCTTACACTTTAAAATTGTCATTAGTGTTTCTGGCCTGCTTTGTGATTATAAAACTTCCCACAGTACTCTGAAGAATGACTGTACTGCAGCGTATTGTTCTTTGTGAGGCTTCCCCTTCCTGGAGCCAGCACTGCTCTTGGTCCTTAGCTGATGCAACACTCCAGTGCTCCTTCTTCCTATCCTCCAAGGGGCAGATTTTCTGATGGAGAAAAGCTTTTTAAAGGAGGCAGCTATTTCATCCCAGCCGCTTCTCAGCTGCTCACCACCACTGGAGGATGCCCTGGAAAAACCAGCGAGCAATGTCAGCTGCCTGGAGATAACCAGTGGACACAAGTTGGCAGTGAGCCCTTGGATGCTGGCCTGGTAGTAGTCCACACATGGTTCTTTTTGGCTGAGATAAACTGGAGTCTATTGGTTTGACTTCCAGCAGCTGGCACATACTAGGCAAATTCAGACCTGCTGAATCCATTCCAGGGTGGGATGTAGACTTTAGATATAAAAACAGCTAGGATAGAGACATTGTTTCAACTATAGCAGACCTCAATACTTAGTTAAAATTCCCTTGTTGGGGAGGGGGCTGGGTGAAAAAGATGAAGAGATTAAGAAGTAGAAACTGGCAGTTACAAAATAGTCACAGGGATATAAAGTACTACAAAGGGAATAAAGTTAGTAATATTGTAATAACTGTGTGGTGCCAGGTGGACATGTGGGGGGGCATCACTTCGTAAATTATATAAATGTCTAACTACTATGCTATATACCTGAAACTAACATATTGACTGCTAACTGTAATTGAAAAAAAACTACTATACCTTGTCTGTTGTTTTACCTCTGTAGGATCACTGTCACTTTCAACATTAACAATAGCATCCCACCAACATTTGATGGGGAGGAGGAGCCCTCTCAAGGGCAGAAGGTTGAAGAACAGGAAGTAAGCTTGTAACCAGCTTTTCTCCTGAGTTCTGACAGGCTTTCAGGGGCTTAGAGGAGCATTGTTTTTGGTTTTAATTTCTCTAATGCTAGAAGGAAAGAGAATGCAAAGGACAACCATCCTTGGGACTTTACTTCTAGAGCAGCAGTTTCTGGCCAGCTTCAGCACCAGGAATGTATGGCCCCTTTTCTTTCCCAGGGACTGAGTAAATTGCCATCTATAGGATTAGGCTTTATAGTTTGGCCTGTGTTCTCCTAATGGAAAGTAATTGAAACTGTCTTAATTACTCCTTCCATGATGGGGGAAGATGTTTGATATCAGAGATTATCATTTGGAGTGTTTCTAAGTAAGGGATGTTCTAACATATCACGGGCTGGAAATAAACACCAGCCACTTAACCAGAGTAGCAAAGCTGCCAGTGCATCAGAGATTTAACATCAGAGATTTTGGCAAGGTCTTATATTGCTGGTCCTCTTAGTTGGACATGGATGGTGCCCCGTCTCCAAAAATTTTAAGAAGCAGTGTGTCTTGCCTAGAAACTAGCTGGTATGAGGGCCACATCTGTATTGTCTCATGAACTAGCACAGAGAGCACAGCTCCCTGGTGTGCTGCTATCTCAGCCACCCTGACTAGGATCTCTCTGACATCGGATGGCTCACCATCAAAGGGAAAATTGCTGTTATTCATACATTAGGACTGCCATTTAGCCAGATGCATCAGCCTTTGGTCCTGGGCTATAGGAAGATCCCAAAACAGTCTGTTGGAAAGAGATCTTGAAGCTTTGGGCCAGCTTTGCAGTTTATGGATGGAGAAACAGACCCAGGAAGATTAAGGAAAAACCTAGGTCTCGGTTAATTTGCACATAGCTAGGGCTGAAATTCAGATTTCTTAATTCAAAATCTAGTATGTTATTTAAACAAGTTGAGTGCTAACAGAAGTGAAATACTGAACTAAATATACTCTACCCTCTAAAACATAGTCTTTAACTCTAGAAAAGATGAATAGGAAGAATTCAGCCCAGCCTCCTGAATGAGCTGGTATGTGGCTTTAATACTGTTAAAGATTCTAGGCTCCTTATTTGGAAATGCTATAGCATAAGTCTTTAAAAATAGCTAAATAATATTATAATAGTGATGGCCAAACCCCTTGAATTGGTCCAGGTAACCAACCTCTGCCAACAATGGCATATACTGACTGACTTTTGTTTCCCCAGCCTGAATTGACATCTACTCCCAATTTCGTGGTTGAAGTCATAAAGAATGGTACCAAGAAGGCCCTTGTGCTGGACTGTCACTATCCAGAAGATGAGGTATTGAGGACAGGGTGCTAGCACTTTGGCATCCCTGGGGACAAGTAGGACTTCTAGAGACCTTACTTCTAGAGACCTTACTCTAACTTAGATCAGCAAAGCAGCACAAGGGAGGTATGGGGGATGAGGGAGCAGATATAGGGGATGAGGTTAAAATCTGGTTAGTTTCAGCCTATAAATAGTCCTTTTTCTTTGCATAAGTCTGGCTTGTCCAAGAAAACCCTTCAGTTTCCCCAACTACTGTCTCTTGTCAGGTTGGACAAGAAGAGGAGGACGAGAGTGACATTTTCTCTATCAGAGAAGTGAGCTTTCAGTCCACTGGCGAGTCTGACTGGAAGGACACAAATTACACACTCAACACAGATTCCCTGGACTGGGTGAGTGCTTGATAAGATGGGGTGCCCTTGGGCCTTAGCAGGGGAGGGTCCTAGTTCAAGGAAAAACAAAGAAGCATTTTAATTAGTCCAAGGAAAGACAGAAGCATTTTCTTCTTAAACTAATGTTGTTTCTCCTTCTAGGCCTTGTATGACCACCTAATGGATTTCCTTGCGGACCGAGGGGTGGACAATACTTTTGCGGATGAGTTAGTGGAGCTCAGCACAGCCCTAGAGCACCAGGAGTACATTACTTTTCTTGAAGACCTCAAAGGTTTTGTCAAGAGCCAGTAGAACACACAAGACGCTGAACACCTTTATTTTATGGCAGGCTTTGGCCAATGAACAAAACCTATTCTGAAGCCAGACGTGTGCTTTGAAATGGTTTTCATCCTAACATCATGGAAAATAATTCAAATTTAAATTATTTGTTGCCCTCTTATTTACTACTCATTTCTTTACAGATCTATTATTTCTAGATTTTTGTATAACATAATGATGGATAATAAAATTGGTTTATCTCCTCTAAGGTGATTTGTCTTTTCTATTTCTATTCCTTCCCCCTTCAACCTGCATTACAAAACACCAAGAGCAGAGACATTTGAAAAGTTTTAATATAAAATAAGTTATAAATTAAATATTTGTATTTACAAGGCCCCTTCTTAGATGCAACAAGTTGTTTCCAACCCAGTAGAATGATGTAAAGGCTGGCTTTAGATGATCACAGCCCAAGTATCACAAGCCTGGATTTAAATAGAAAAAAGTTAGCTTAAATTGTTTTGTCTCAATATGTTATTAAAAGTTGTAATCAGTAATAACATTTATGCTGCAATTAGAATTCCGACATGACATGATGCCGAGTTCAGTTACAATTATGACATAGTTCAGTGGTGTAGTTAGAGGCTGCTGACGAGTCCTGTTCTCAGGCTTCAATGAACCTCAGTCTGACCTCAAAACAACTTCCTTTGAAATCAGCAGCAGCAATGCAGTCTTAAGCTAAGATCAAATCCTAGAGATGGACTAATCAAATATCCTCACCCTCAGGAAACCAGTGACCAGAAAGATTATTCAAACTTCTCAGAGATGGCAGCTTTTATAGCCCAGCAAGGAGGTGAGGTCTCTTCAACATAGGACAAGATAAACAAGCATGTGCCATAGGGAGGTACAAACCATGTATGCTCACAATCAAAAGTTGGAGGCCCATTAATTCTAGCATGGTTTCCCCTAACAATCAGTAAACACTAAAGTATAAAACTGGCTCCTGATTCCTTGACAGCTCAGCCTCACCACTATGCTAAGGAACCCTGTGTTTAACCTTGACTCTTTACACTTCCTTAGGTAATATACTTGGATTTCTGGTGGTCTAGCCCATTGCATCCCTATTACTACCCTTAACCGCTCCTCACATCTCAAATTTTCCAAGTCCCTATGGCTATATATACCCACTTTCTGTAACCTACACCTATCTTCCTCCTCCTTGCCATCTATGCTGAAACACCCTATATATAGCCTGACCTCACTGGATATTGAACCCAATGATCCATGGTTTCCCTATAAGTGAAACCAGATAAGTGGCACACTGGAACTCTAGAGCATTCCAAATGACCTACCTTTCAAAACGGTAAACTCTGGCATAGGCTACTGAATATAATTTTGTCCTTTCCTGTTTCACCTTTGCTATGACACCCTCTTCCTTTGCCCTCAGGGCCCAACAATGGTCTCCCTGCCCACCCAGGAGCCAGCATTGTCAATCATGTCCTACAACTGCTTTTCCAAACTTCACCTTCCACTTGGCTTTGTTGCTGCTCTGAGCTGCAAGGCACTGATGTCAGGTGAGCAGACAACTGCAGCTAGACAGACACTCAGCAACTACGCAATGCTTCACGTCCTCTTTAATTGTCCTACCCGTTCCCTCTAATACTTGGTCTGGAACTTTCACACTCTCAAGGAGCTCCACACTCTAGCTCAGTTCCAATGTACTCTGAATGGCTCACTTGTTCATCTCACTGAGAAGGCAGAAGCCAAAGCTATCTGACCTTATGCCCCTTCAACTCTCCTCCCTCTACTTCAACTCATTTCTCCAAACATTAGACCTACCTATGTGCCAAAGACTGGGAATAAAAATATGGTCCTTGCCCTTGAGAACAAAGCTCTAAACAGGTAACTGCAGCAGTGCTACAGAGACAGTAGCGAGCAGAGTAGAAGCCCAAGAAGAACCTGCCAATTCTGCATGAGGGGTCAGGCTTCAATGATCATCTGGCATACAGCAGTGCTCAATAACATTTGTATAAATGATCCTTGAGCTGAGTGGGAGGAGCCAAAGGCATTTCAGATAATAGCACAAGAGCATGGAGGCCCGAAAACACTTGCATATTTGAGAATCCACAAGCAGTTCTAGATGGCTGGAGCAGAAGGGTGCATGTGCCTGTAATCTATAGGAAGTAGTGACAGGTTTTATCTAAACTTCACCCACTGTGTCTCCTTCTATACAATCTGGAAAAAAGCCATGTCCCTCCCCCAAGGCCTGACCCTGGAGCTGAAAATAGCAGGGGTGCTAGAACCATTGACACCTGGGCTCTAATACCAGATGTAGCTTTTCGTAGCAGTACCATTTGGCCAAATCTTCTCACCTATCTGAACGTTTCCTGTTCCTAACATTGGGAACAATATCCACCTTGTGATGAAATGATGTACATAGAACAACTTGGCACACAGTTAAGTATTTAATAAATCTAATTCTACTGCCCTCCTTCCCCACAATCCCATCCCTTCTGGTAGGTCTAGGCCCTTATTTCCTCACTTATCTACCCACTCCCACCACCTAGCCCTCCGGTGAATCCTTCTCAATTTACAAATGCACTCAATGGTCTTCCTTCTAAAAAGGCAAATTAATATCTTTCTTCCTCATTATAGCTAAATTTCTTGGAAAAACTGTAATACAGTTACTGATTCTACTTCTTGGCTCCCTACTCACTCAAATTCCTAAAACTGAAATCAGGTGGTAGCTACTTGACCCTTTGATTCCACCGAAATCATCTATATAAAGTCATCAATGTCTACCTCAATCCCTATGGTGAGGGCTACTACCCACTCAACTCCTTCCTTTGGGAAATGTCCACACCTTCCACACTTCTGTTCTGCAGCCTCTGTTCTTCACCTCCGCTTGTTCCCTTAAAGCGAAAATGTAGGCAATGCCCAAGAATACATCATTAGTCTTTTCTACAAGTCCTCCTTTGGCACTGTCATCTCACGTACGACTTTTAGCAATCATACAGAAGCAAGCGACTTCTAAAGCTATCCCTTACTCTCAGCTCCACTCCTAACTCCACCAAAACCTGGGTGTCTCACAGAAATCTCAAATCCAACATGTCCACAGTTGAACTCTGAAGTTCTCAGCACAAACCTTGTCTTCCACACATGGCCCCACCACTGCCCGGTTAACCAGCCTTGAAACCTCGCATCTTTGATTCCTCCACCCTGACATCTGCGGCTACAGAATTTCATCAATTCACTTCCTAAGCCTCTCACATCCATTCTACCCACACCATTGTTATTGCCTAAGTTCGAGCCCTCTCCACTTCTCCCACAGAGTAGTGGACAGCCTCTCAAATGTTGTTTCTGACTCAAGACATCTCACATACACAGCAACTACAATAACTCTCTCATAAGATCATGCTGCTTCTTTCCCTCACAAACCCAAAGTTCCAGATAAGCAGAATGTGATACTTTTCATATACACTCCACAATTTTCTGCCTCCCTACCTTTACATTAGCTGGGGATCTTCCACTTATCTTGCCATATCTACATGTCCAAATCCTATTCCCCACTTCAAAGCCAAGGTTAAATGCCTCCTTTAGGAAGTTCATCCACAAATGAAATCACCTCCTCTGAACCCCCTTAGATCCTCCCCTGATGGCTCTCCAAGGGTACTTACTACTTGCTTTCTGTATTCTCTTAATCACCAATCCTAAACTTGAGCTCTGGGAGAAAATGCATATTTTTTAATTTTAAACAGTCCTTAATACATTTTTTTTTAAAGGCTGAGACCTGAATCTGTTTTATTTTTTATTATTATTTATTTATATTATTTATTTTTATTTTTTTATTTTTTTAGCTCCTACAGCACTTGGTATTCCTAGGTAGTCTCCCATCCAAGTACTAACCAGGCCCAACCCTGCTTAGCTTCCAAAATAAGACAAGATCGGGCTTGTTCAGGGTGGCATGGCCATAGACCTTTACATTTTTTTTAAATGAACGAGTGGAATTAAATAACTTACAGAAGAAACTTTATAAAAGTGAAAAATGTTGGCTGTGTTGCTGGGCAATGTTGCTTAAAATACCAACTCCTATAGGTAAACTGTATTTGGAATAAGAGGGCCTTGAATCAACTATAAATACCCAGTAGGAAGCCAAGTTTTAGACTTTCCTAAGTGTAGACTGCTCATAATCTCAAAGTTCTTCTTGCTTGGGACCTGGAAGCTATATCCATAGGTTATTGTAAAAGGTACTGGTCCCTACAGTAAGCTTAAGGCTTCTAAACCAGAGTGGCTCTCTACCTACTTGTGTGGTCCTATTCCCTCACACCTGAGTTGTCACTTAGAGAAATTCTTGCTAAAGAGACAAGCCTGATGCTGCCCTGCTGTGTTTCCTATTCTGTATCGTTCTATGAAACTAATACCAGGATGGCCTAATTGAGTCTTATGAATATGAAATAATCAGCTTCATCTAAGACCACTGCTGCTAATCAAATAAGAGTAGCCAGTGCAGCCAGGATCCCTATCAAGAACAATGCACCCTCCACAATCCTGTGCTACCTGACTCTTCCTCTTTCAGGGAATGACTAGCCTTTTAGTTGAACTGACTTGTTACTTTCACTTTTCTATTCAAGTAAAATCCTCAGAAAATAAACTGCATTTTTAAATAATTTTTAAATAAACTGTTTCCAAGCTATTTTTTACTAGGGCAGGAATAAAACCAAACACTGATCCAGTCTTACCACTGGTCCCATGAGAGGCTTACCAGACAGCTCATGAGAAGACTGGACTTTTCTTCTGTCCCTTCAGTGACTGAAAACCCAGGTATGTGGGGACAGTGTGCACTGTGCTCATTCACACTGACCTCTAAACAGGCACGAAGTTTCTGCTCTGTCAACTCTGGAGACTAAAAAATAAAAAAGTTAAACTACAACCTAATATTAGTTACCTCATAGTCAACAAATTGAAAATCCTGATTCTTGATGATTGGCTCGCTGTGATGGCTTGATTCCATGGACCTTTAAATACGCTATTGGGCTCATGATAGTACTAAAAAGATCTCTTAACCAATCTCCATCTAACCACCTCTCTAGAACAACCAATGCTCTCCACTCCTGCTATAAAACACATTGTCACTTATAGCACCAGGAGCACTCAGAGCCTCCCTTATACTTCTGCCTCTACCAGCGAACTGTATCCCTACCAAGAGCCAGCATTACTTGGTCCCAGATTTGCTTGTGCTAATTAAACTTGCTGCTGAAACTGAGAGTAATTTAAGTACACATTATGTAAACCAATGAAATAAAAGAACGAAAATAAAGTTGGTTTTTTTATGTGTGATAATAAGTGGAATGTTTAGAAAACAATGAGTTGCTTTAAAAAAAACTGTTAAATTAGGTAAAAGATAGGGAGGAAAAATCCTAAAGTTGTGCACTCAGCTTCTTGATGCACTTTACAGAAACAAAACTGGAAACTCTAAACTATGCATTGTAAGAGTGGTTTACATAAAAAGACTAAGTTCTCCAATCAGGAGAGTCCTACTCAAGGACTAGCAAGCAAATTTGTATGTTCAAAGTGTATTATCAATGTTTCATTTTTATAATTCGCCACTTTAACCAAATGACAAACTTTCGGTCCACATCATATAAGAGGGCTCCTTCTGTATTTTAAGATGACTGAAGCTTACAAATTTTGAACTTAAGTGTCCTCGTATATGGAAATTTTTTATGGAAGATCAGATACAAGAGCTTCCAATTCTAAACTAGGCTCTCTATAAACATCTTAAGCAGTGGTACATTTATAAGTGTTTAACAAATGGCTCTGGGAAGGGAGCAGGGAACACCCTGATTTGCAGTGCTTAACAATTTCCATACTGTATACACTCTCACCATGGCTGATTTCAAGCTACCAAGGTGAACTAAACATGAGTTGGGAAAAGATGTGCACAGTTGGCTCCAGCACACCACTGAAGCTTCTTAAAGAAAGTAGATATATGTGGAAAGAAGTGACTCAAAATCTGTGTGTGGAACACTTACATGACATGGGATGTACAGGCCACACTGACACATGACCACACCGCCTGTTATTCTCAGGTTGTACCTAGAGGCAGAATCGGGATCCCAGAACTTCATGGCCAGCAGACCAGGATGCCCAAATCTTTCCAGATAACAAACTGGGGAGAGGGGACATACCACCCACCTTGGAGTCGGGGATGGGAACCAATAATGCTGAAAAGATTTGGAAAACTCTTACTTTGTACACACAGGACAGATGAGGGAGTTTGCTTCCCACTCCGCCAGTATGACGCTGAGACACTTTTCATCAAACTGCAAGCTCTTCTCATATTCACTGATAATGGACTGTTCTGCAAGGCAATGGACAGTTTAAGTGCTTCACCATGATTCACCTGGATTGCTCTGTTTTTAATGCTAAACTTCACCTTGGAAGGCTTCATCCACACAGAGAAAAATTCAGGCAAAATCATGCTACCAATCACTAGATATTTACTGCCATCAGGATTCCTCTTGTTGGAGCCCTCCCCTCCTGTCCATCCTCTCCTAATGAGCACAAGAGGTGAAGTAGTGAGGCTAAGGGACAAGGAGTAAACTTTCACACATCTCCAGAGACCATAAAAGCAGAGATGTAGGGTGTCAGAGTCCCAGGGGAAGCTGGAAAAAGCTAATACTTATAGGGCATTTATTTCTGACCCCAGGCCCTCCCTGCTAAGTATAAAGTGATCTGTTCCCCAATGTCCACATACTTAGAATCTGTGTTGTTCAGAATCTTGTGTGTTCATTCATTCAACAAACACACAATGATATCTACTATGTGGCAGGCATGGGGTACAAAGATGTAAAAGACTGGTCTCTGCTCTTGAGGAGCTCGCAGTCTAGACTTTAGCACGGGGGTCAGCAAACCACAGCCCACAGGCCATATCCGGCCCACCTTCAGTTTTTTAAATAAAGTTATACAGAAACATAGCCATGTTCATATATTTATGTATTGTCTATGGCCGTCCCCATACTACAACAGCAGAACTGAGTAATTGCAAAGAGAAATCATGGACCATAAAGTCTAAAAAATTTACTATCTGGCCCTTCAGAGAAAGTTTACCAAGCTCTGTTCTAGAGTATTCTTTATGACTGAGTATGGCAGAACACAGTAAATCCTTATCACTTTGTAGTTTTAAAATATAATCCAGAAGAAATATTTAGTAAGTCCTTTGCTTCATGACTATGATAGGTTTTATAGGTAAGGGTGAAGGATGAATCCATAAAAAAGATAACAACAAAAAAAAATCTGCAGTCTAACAAGAGTCAGTAATACCAATCATACCTAACACTTGCATAGCACTTACAATGTGCCAAATGCTATTTTAAGCCCTTTACATATATTAATTTTTTCACTAATATTAGCCTTATTTTAAAGATGAAGAAACTGAAGCACAGGGAGATTAAATGCTTTGCCCAGTGCCACATAAGTTAAAGTGATAAAGCTGCGAAGTGAATTTTAGAAATCTGGCTCAAGAGTCCATGCTCTTGTGTCCTCATAATAATAGCTATCATTTGTTGAAAGCTTTATGCTAGGCCCTTCTCTAAGTCTTCTACACATATTATTTAAGCCTACAAACAAACTTATAGGATAGGTCTATTATCTCTGTTTTACAGATGATAAAAACTAAGCCTACTCAAAATATGCCTATGTGGAATAAATGAATGAACTATATAAGGTGCTAAATTATGCACTCTACAATACTATGGATGCCTCTGGGAGTGGATTCTCACAAGACCCTGGCGAGTCAGTAAAGAATGGATGAGAGAGAAGGCACTTAACTTAGGTAGCACAAGAGATCTGATCATATACTATATCCTGCAAAGTGACAGGATTACTACTAATCTATTAATAGAGAGGTACTGTAGGATAGAATAAACATGAGAACTTGATTCATAAAACTGATTTTGCTTCCCATCTCCACTGGCTGTGCATCCTGTGTAAGATACCAGTCTTTTCTGTCTCACACTATCTTGCAGAGTAGCCCCAAGGACAAAATAAGCACGGAAGGAGAATCTGAACACAAAGCCTAGCACACTGAAGATTCTTATTACTGGGAAGACAGACAGCCAAGACTTCAGAGTAAAAACAGAGACTTCTGGACACTTGACTGAAGATGGAATTAGAGGAGGGGTGTTAAGAACTAAGTATGTTCAGAAAAAAGGTCAGCATTAGAGTAGCTAGATATAGGCAGGAAGGACCAGTCCCAGAGTTCACCTTGGTCAATCAGCTCCTGTTGGATTTCCTCCAGCACAGCCAAGTCCATCGGCTGCTCCAACTGCAAGAGAAAGTGGAGTTATCAGAGGTCTGAAGTCATAATCAGCTGTCAAGCCTCACGATGATTGATACTTGGAGGCTAGCTTGAAGGTTTACCTGAGGAAATCAGTCCAGTCCTTCTGTAGACTATGCTGACAATGAAGTGATGTGGTCATGCTGAGAAGTCATCAACAAATGACTAAACTACCCAGTAACAAAGTAATAGCACTTAATTTAGGAGAGACCGTATAGAGCTAAGTACATGGTTCTGCCAAAGCTTTGTGGCCACTAGAAAGTTCCTAATCCCTGTAAACCTCAGATTGGGCTTCTGTAAAGTGGAAATAATACCTACCCAAGGTTATTGTGAGTACTAATTGTGATTATATAACACAAACATTTGGCATACAACAGGACACACAGAAGGCACTGAATAATGTACCATTATTATAGAAAGCCTTAATGTTTTCAAAGCAGTTTCCCACATTTTTTCTTATAGTACACACCATGCTGACATTATTTTCATTTCATAAATGTGAAAACTAAAGGTCAAGAGGCAGAGTGGAGTTAAGAATCAATAACAAAACCAGGATAAGAATTTCACAGCTCCAGACTTCCAATCCAGTGCTCTTCCCGACACATGGTAAATGGTTTCCTAGCCACACACAGCTCTCAATTCTGGGTGAGATTAGAATGGGAAAGCTCCTGGAGACCTTTTTAAAAAGAAAGTATTTCTAGCCCATGACTACTGAATGAAAACTTCCAGGGCTAGAGCCAAAGAGTGAAATTACTTTCTTTTTAGTTTCACAAGTGATTATAATGCAATGATACAGCAGGTCAACAGTCTGGTATTTGGGAATCATTAATCTAGAAGAGTCTAACATTAAAGGTAGGAGAACCTGGGTTAAAGACTATTATAATCCTGATTTGGGGTTTAAGGGTGGATGGGTTTGAAGACTTGGAGAAATTGGTAGAAAGAGGATACTTCTCATTCTTGATGCTATAGCATCCTCCCTAAAAACATGTATCCCAGCCTGACCTGAGCCAAGACTTCTGGACAGCCATCCATTGACTGTAAAGCATTCCACTCTTCTTCCATCACCTCTTGTACTAGAAGGGTGTTCTGAGTTCTCCCTGGCATATTGCCTCCAGCCTGGCGGTATTTGTTCAGGAGCCTGTCCCGGCTGTTTCTCATTCTCTCCAGGCATCCCTTGGAAGAATGAGAAAGATGGGGATGGGGGAGGAAGGAAGGTAAGCAATTCTATTAAAAAAAATTCTTAGATTAGTTCTTAAAACATTAAAAGAAATTTGTAGACAATTTCAAATGTAATCCTAACTATTGTTAATTTTGCATAGTCCCCTCCAGTCCTATCTACTTGTAGATAGATGAAATTACAATGCTTTGTTAATGTATTTCCATATCACCATATTTCATGTTCTATCTTCAATGCCAGCTTCCTTAACGTTTGGATAATAACAGCTCAGCATCCACTGTCCTATTACAGGAGATTTAGATTGCTTCCAAATTCCT